TAATTTTAATTAATTTATTTCGTGCACACATAATTATGGTGTAACGTTACACCCTCCCGCTGAATTTTCAACACTGCATACAATTAACAACAAAATGTTGCAACTTTTTGTGACAAATGCTGCAATTAATTACAACAAAATGTTGCAATTAATTACAACAAAACATTGCAATTATTTACAACAAAATGTGGTACACTTTTGTCCAGCATGGCGTGCCATACACATAGTACTCTTCAAACCATTCTACAATTTTGTTAGCCTCTGGTGGAATATCATCCTTTAATTGATCAAATGCTGCAGGAATGTCATCATCAGGAGGCCTAATTTTTAAACTTAAATTTTCTTCAGCCCCATATTGAACACTGAGTCCAGAAGCTTGTACTTTCCAGTAAATGCTCTGAGCCAAATGAAATAAACATCCCTTGTTTTGGACACCTTGAAATTCTCTATGAGCAGCATTGATGGCTGCTTGTTCAAAATCAGTTAAAATAAATTGTGGCCAGAGAACAACACCATTTTCATCACCAAAATCAATCAATCCCTGAAACAAATTCCTATAACATTCTTCCGATTTTCTGGCATTATTTGTGAATTTTCATCTCTACCAACACGTCCATGAATTGAATATAACTGTCTAAATATATTTGGAACTGTTTTAAATGTTCCATCCATAATCCAGAAAGTGGATTGTTCCAGATATCAGACATTAGCAATGGTTGTAAAGAGCAATATTCTGTCTTCATCCAGGACAATATCTTTAACCAAAAAGTCTGATCTGCTTAGAGTCTTCGTCAAATCTTCAGGAACAATAAGTTCATTTAAAGATTCTGGTTCTACAGGAAGATCAGAACTCCTAATTCGATTAATTGTTTGACGAAGTGCATCATGAGATGGAAGGTATGGATGTGCTTTGTGAGAGATAATAGCAGATGTGGTTTGAATAATTTGTGCAGGTGTTTCATTAGTCTCTTTTCCTCTCTCTTTTAAAGTATTGACAATTCTTATAACATTGAATCAGTTTGCCTCCACAGCATGATTATGATCTGTAAATTTTTTGAGACAATGTTGTCCTTCAACAAACATGGTAACTGCTTGGCCTTTACATTGTAGTGCATCACGTTTTCACAATGCCAGTAATAAGAATTGTTACAATTTTTATTTTTGCACATAATAAAACCATGAACATTAATTTTGTCTTGACCATGATTAGAAGAAACAATTTCACAAATAGTATCATTCATTTTTAAAAAAGGTAGTATATATGTGATATGATTATGATAAAGTTATTATGATAAAAGGTTATTATGATAAAGTTATTTATTATGATAAAGTTATTATGATAAAAGGTTATTATGATAAAGTTATTTATTATGATAAAGTTATTATGATAAAAGGT